CCTGACAGATTGTGTGGAAACAGTGTATTTCGGGCATCTCGCTGGGGGAATAAGTCCACCCCACCCCACACCCTGCGTAAAAGAATGTGTACAATACTTCCTGGAATTTTTTGATAAATTCAAAATGCATGGATCCATTTTGCGCATACTTGAATAGGAGGGTGCATTTCAGACTTTTGAGTGGGAATCGCCAAAATTAGCCATAATAACGATACGGTACCTACATATGAAACACCCCACTACGCCCTCGAGGGTATGCTGCTTTTTGCCCTAACTTAGTCTCGCCTCTCATTATCATCATCCCGCAAAACAACCGATCAAACAATTAATGGAGTCTTTAGAAAGAATTTAGTCCAAGTAGCGGATCAAAAGATAATATAAAGAAAACCAAAATTATGTGAGTAGGAAAACTAACAGAAACAATTGAAGGGTTCAAGGGAAAAACCAGTGATGTCAATTTTATTTTTTTGATATTTGCAAGTTATCTCCCGTGTAGCTACATTCCATTCAATAGAATAATAAGACACACAGGCCCAACTGAAAAAGCAGCGTAGTCAATAAAAAAAATATTTAGATATTTTGATAGTCTTATACTTTCATGAGTAATTTTTAAATTTTAATGGGAGACACACAAACAAGCCATGGAAGACACACAAACAACCCATGGGAGACACACACAACCCATGGGAGACACACAAACAAACCATGGGAAACACTCAAACAAACCATGGGTGACACACAAACAAACCATGGGAGACACTCAAACAAACCATAGGTGACACACAAACAACCCATGGGAGACACACACACAACCCATGGGATGTACACAAAGACACGTGGGAGACACACAAACAACCCATGGGAGACACACACACAACCCATGGGAGACACACAACGACACATGGGAGACACACAAAGACACGTGAGGGGTAAACCTGGACGTCTGTCATTGTTCACATGGAAGTGCTAGCCAAGACTTTCTTATTGTTCATATATGGGGTGTCAGATATGACATTCTCATTGTTGACTTGATGGGGTGTCAGATATGCCATTCTCATTGTTGACATGATGGGGTGTCAGATATGCCATTCTCATTGTTAACTTGATGGGGTGTCAGATAGGACATTCTCATTGTTGGCATGATGGGGTGTCAGATATGCCATTCTCATTGTTAACTTGATGGGGTGTCAGATAGGACATTCTCATTGTTGGCATGATGTGGTGTCAGATGTGACATTCTCATTGTTGGCATGATGGGGTGTCATATATGACATTCTCATTGTTGGCATGATGGGGTATCAGACGTGACATTCTCATTGTTGGCATGATGGGGTGTCAGATGTGACATTCTCATTGTTGGCATAATGGGTTGTCAGATATGACATTATCATTGTTGGCATGATGGGTGTCAGATGTGACATTCTCATTGTTGGCATGATGGGGTGTCACATATGACATTCTCATTGTTGACATTGTGTTTAGCCAGAACATTGTCATTGATTACATCGGCTTGTCCACTGGGTCAACATGAGCTAAATTTATTCCAGTTGTAGCGCCCTTGAGGGTATACATTTTTGTCCCAGCTGAGTCTCACCCCTAGTTTGTGCATCATCCTACACTTAATCGGAGGGCACCGGAGGCGATGCTCGTTAAAATATAAGAAGTCACGTGACCTCCGAGCCATCGTGTGGGCCTTGCAATTCCTACGGCTGCAAAAAACCCCAAAAAAGGGGGGGGTGGGGTCGTATATTTTAAAGGCTAAAATTTGTGACGTGGACACTTTTTTAATGTTTCATTTTTATTGCAAGGTGTCGGGAGGAGAACACAAAAAGTGGTAGGGGGTCTCTAAAAGTCAAGCGACGGCCCTGCTTGAACGGGATGAGTCATGGAATATTTTTTTAAAATAAATATTACTAAATAGTAATACTTATTAAGGGGGGGGGGGGGGGGGGGGGGGGGGGGGTCGTCAGCCAAGAGATTCTTATTATTCCAATGCATGTGTCAGGAAAGGCATTCTCATTGTTTACATGGGTGTGTCAGCTTGACGTTCTCTTCTTTTCCCCGAGAGGTGTGTCACGCAGGACATTCTCATTGTTTACATGTTGGTGAGCCAGAACATTCTCATTGTTTACATGTTGGTGAGCCAGAACATTCTCATTGTTTACATGTTGGTGAGCCAGAAAAGTCTCATTATTTACCTAGGACTGTCAGCTGGGACATTATTATTTTATTATGGCGGCTGTGTTGTCAACAAGGAAATTCTCATTGTTCACGTGGCGTGTGTCAGCCAGGAAATTCTCATTGTTCACGTACCGTGTGTCAATCAGGAAATTCTCATTGTTCACGTAGCGTGTGTCAATCAGGAAATTCTCATTGTTTACGTAGCGTGTGTCAGCCAGGAAATTCTCATTGTTCATGTGGCGGAGTCATCCAGGAAATTATCATTGTTCATGTGACGGAGTCATCCAGGAAATTCTCATTGTTCATGTGGCGGAGTCATCCAGGAAATTATCATTGTTCATGTGGCGGAGTCATCCAGGAAATTATCATTGTTCATGTGGCGGAGTCATCCAGGAAATTATCATTGTTCATGTGGCGGAGTCATCCAGGAAATTATCATTGTTCACGTACTGTGTGTCATCCAGGAAATTCTCATTGTTCACGTAGACTGTGTCAGTCATGAAATTCTCATTGTTCGCGTAGAGTGTGTCAGCCAGGAAATTCTCATTGTTCATGTGGCGGAGTCATCCAGGAAATTATCATTGTTCACGTACTGTGTGTCATCCAGGAAATTCTCATTGTTCACGTAGACTGTGTCAGTCATGAAATTCTCATTGTTCGCGTAGAGTGTGTCAGTCAGGAAATTCTCATTGTTTACGTAACGTGTGTCAGCCAGGAAATTCTCATTGTTCATGTGGCGGAGTCATCCATGAAATTCTCATTGTTCACGTAGTGTGTGTCAGCCAGGAATTTCTCATTGATGACATGGGGTTCTAGACAAGGCAATCTTATGGTTTACGTCTGTGCTTTAGACGAGGCATTTTTATTGTATACATTGGAGATTTAGGCAATGCAATATCAATGTTTACATGGGCTTATCAGCTAGGACATTATCATTGTTATACGGGGTTATCAGCCAGGACATTATCATTGTTTACATGGGCTTATCAGCCAGGACATTATCATTGTTTACACGGGCTTATCAGCCAGGACATTATCATTGTTCACACGGGCTTATCAGCCAGGACATTATCATTGTTTACATTGGTGTTTTAGACAGGACTTGCTTATTGTTTAAATGCCATTCAAAGCCACTAATATTTTGTTTCAATATTTTCTGATTATTGATGTCGCTTTAGGTAGTTACGTGTAAATGTCGTGGACGAAGTTCAATATTGCTTCTTTCCAAGTGTGTCATTTGAAATGGTAAATAAATAATATTCCCTAAGCAATATCCATCGGATGACACTAATGTAAGGAAGTGGTGAGGCAAACCAAAGCCCTCCGTGGGCCGTAATGCCACTTGTATGGATAGAAGCAATATCCATCTGATGAAATGAATGTAAGGAAGTGGTGAGGCAAACCAAAGCCCTCCGTGGGCCGTAATGCCACTTGTATGGATGGAAGCAATATCCATGGGATTACACGAATGTAAGGAAGTGATGAGGCAAACCAAAGCCCTCTGTGGGCCGTAATGCCACTTGTATGGATAGAAGCAATATCCATCTGATGAAATGAATGTAAGGAAGTGGTGAGGCAAATCAAAGCCCTCCGTGGGCCGTAATGCCACTTGTATGGATGGAAGCAATATCCATGGGATTACACGAATGTAAGGAAGTGGTGAGGCCAACCAAAGCCATCCGTGGGCCGTAATGCCACTTGTATGGATGGAAGCAATATCCATCTGATGACACAAATGTAAGGAAGTGGTGAGGCAAACCAAAGCCTTCCGTTGGCCGTAATGCCACTTGTATGGGTGGAAGCACTATCCATCTGATGACACGAATGTAAGGAAGTGGTGAGGCAAACCAAAGCCCCTCTGTGGGCCGTAATGCCACTTGTATGGGTGGAAGCACTATCCATTTGATGACACGAATGTAAGGAAGTGGTGAGGCAAACCAAAGCCCTCTGTGGGCCGTAATGCCACTTGTATGGGTGGAAGCAATATCCATTTGATGACACGAATTGCACACCGCAAACAGAGGTGTATGGGAGACAAACTTACCCACAGCAAGGATTAAAATAGCAGATTAGTGGCTATCAGATTAGTGGGAAGAAGATTTGCTTATTCATTAAAGATTAACCAATTATTAGTAAAATGGACATAAGTCTAAAAAAAATTATTTTGTCCAACTAGTCGATTTTGCACCCATTAACTTTGGCGCAAACGGCTATTTCCGTGTCCTGTCACAAACTTTGTGGTACGCGTCTGCTCGGGAATCTGCAAAAACAGAACAAAGACACATCTGATTGCCACTATGGGCTTAGGGTGAGATGGGAGGGGGGCTAAAAAATCAATGTCTTGGCCGTGTCTTGGCATTCGAAAGGACCAGCCCAACATTAAAAATATAACGTTATGTCTGTGTGTGATTCTGTTCGTGTGTATGTGTTCATGCATTTATATGTCATTATGGTTTTAAAATTTGGAAAATCTTGTTTTAAATGCCTAAAAGCATTGTCCAAAATATTTGTATGCATTAATCGCTCCAAAAACTCTTTAGAAAGGGCCATTAAAACGTATGCCACGGGCTACTTTTACCTAAATTCGATCGTTGTTTCGGACGATGGTTCACAGGAACAATGGAAATGTTGCCCCACTTTATCATGACCATTATCGTCTATCGACGAATGATCGGTGGCGGCTTTAGTTCAGCTAATGCTCAAAATGGCAACGGATCAAGCCCCTCCCCTCCAAATGATCTCCCAACACAATTAGTGTCTGCAGGGATTTACCTTGCCATAAAAGCCAACGTGTCACAGTTCTGTCGCCTAGTGGTTGAAGTTTTCCGAAGCAAACAGGTTACCCAGTAACATTCTTCAGCAGAAGCTTCAAAGATTCTCATTTTTAGTAAGCCATGGCCAGAAGACACGGAATGAGTTCAGCAAGAAAGTTTCACATCCATGCTTTTCTTGTATTGGTGAGTCATTGACATCTGCACAACTACTTTAAGTTTCCATACCACAGCAAACACTTTCTGAAATTCTCAAAAAGTTAATTGTTCTGTCCTGAAAAGGTAAACCTGGTATGTGTATATGCAATAATTTTGAGTCCCATTTTTTTTTCAATCTGAAATCGTGGGGTAAGAACATATTTTAAACTGTAGAGATTCATAAAAAGCAACGAAAGAGAATGAATGATGTCAGGTTTAAATTGATGTATTTTTTAAATACAAAACATATGCACTTTTTCAATGTGGTTTCACCCCACCCCCTTTTTGGGGGGATGGTGTCGCCCGGTGCGGTCCACACCCCCGCACCGCTCTCACTACGGCTCTAAAGTGTGTGTGTGTGAGAGTTCATGAGTGTTACAATTATTAGCCACGCTTAATTCCAGCTGAATCCTTCCAAGAGCTTTAATCAAATAAGATTTGGAGAATCCTAGATTGAACTCTTGCATTAGATGTATGGTTTAATGTTCCACATAATGATGTGGAAAGTTCAAAGTGGCTTTTATTTATTTATTTTTTTTAAAGTTGGGGAAAGCAAGAAATTAAGCGTCGGGCCGAATGCGATATCAAAACATTTTTTTTTAAAAATTATCTTGAATCTTTTTTTTTTTTTTTTAAACAGGTGTTTTCGTGTGTAGCTCTAGCTCAGTACCAGACACAATCATCCGCCTACCCAGCATCCACTGGCTACCAGGGCTATGCGCAGCCATCAGCAGCTTACCAACCTTCCACTGGCTACCAGCCATATTCTCAGGCCAGCTACCCCGCCTACGGACAACAGCCTGCCTACGGATCCTATGGGTATAACGCGATGAGGCCTCTCGTGCAGTCGGATGTGAAAAATTGTACCGACACCGACTGTGGACAAGATGTAAGTCTCGTACATTAATGAAAAAAAAAATTCTTTAAATGTATACATTATTTTAAAATAGTTATTTAACCTTAACCACTTGTCTGTTTCAGCTGATAAGGTTTCACGTCCTGTTAAATTAGACTCAGCTTGTACATATTCAGACAGGTACTCTTGGCGAAATATATTTACAACTACCACCCTTGTGTCTAGATGCCCATCCGCCACTACCCCTCCCCGGAAGCCGCAAATATCAAAGAACCTTCTCAGGCACAAGAAACTCAACCATCAATCCTACCCCCAAAGAACCTTCTCAGGCACAAGAAACTCAACCATCAATCCTACCCCCAAAGAACCTTCTCAGTCACAAGAAACTCAACCATCAATCCTACCCCTCAGACCCCATCCATTCCCCCCTCCCCCTCCTTCCCCCACCCCAAAAAAGGCGCCGTTCCAAAATTACCGCACTAGCGGCTCCAGGATATTACTGTGGTAAACCTAGGGCCTATCTAGGGCCTACATGGACATATTTTTTTTTTTAATGGTCAATGAAAGACTCCTCGCACACACACACAAAAAGAAAGAAAAAAAAAATTTTTTTCTTCAACAAATATAAATAAATGACTATCTTAAAAGATAGCAGGAAGAATTACAGCTATTTGGAACGCTGAAGAAAACTATAAAGTCTAGAATTTTCCAAAAGGGTGCCAACCCCTGGCAGGCTGGTCAATAGGATTAGTACATAGATGACATATAGTTAATCTGGTTTCTGTTTTAAATAAAACCGACTATCTGCTAACCCAATGATAACAAAATAAAAAAAATTGTTCATTATGTCCCTTCTTTTCAGGAATGCTGCGTGTCTACCCCCCGTGCCTCCATCTGTGCGAAAATGATTTCCATTGATACCAGTATTGCCATAAGTAAAAGAGAAAAAAATGTAAGATTTATAACTCTTTTTTTACGAAGGCATATGTTCTCCTCCCATGTTAATATAACACGGTATTATTTTTAACATAGTCATTTTATGCTGCATATTTTCCATATCATGCATGCTTAATCAATAACACAATGTTAATATCACCCAAATTTTCTAACGTGGGCCTATTTGTATGGGAGATTTGAAGTATACCACTAGATAAATTTGATATTTGTAAAAAATAATTAAAGTTTAATAAACAGCAAGTCAGGAAGATGTGCAGTTGGTGTTGCTTAAGGGGTGGGAGCGTCAAAATATGTTTTCGATAATCTCATTTCTCAACGCATGTGTATTTCCTATAAAGAGTACCAGAGTACAAATGTTAATAATGTATTTTGAAATTAATATCTTAAAAAAGAAACTAAATTCTTGAAGTTAATTTAGTTCCTCAATCGACGTTGTGCTCTAACATCTTGCATTCTCCCCCTCTTATCATGGTTTAACATCTCACAGTCTCCCCTTCTTATCATACTCTACCATTGCAGCAGCCCCCACGCTCTTATCTTGCTTTAACATCTCACAGTCTCCCCCTCTTATCAAGCTCTAACATCTTCCAGTCTCCCCTTCTTATCATGCTCTAACATCTTCCAGTCTCCCCCTCTTATCATGCTTTAACATCTTCCAGTCTCCCCCTTTTATAATGTATGCTCTTATATCTCCCAGTCTCCACCTCTTATCATGCTCTAACATCTTCTAGTCTCCCCCTTTATCATGCATGCTCTAACATCTCTTAGTCTCCTCCCCCCCTTATCATGCTCTAACATCTCCCAGTCTCCCCCTCTTATCATGCTTTAACATCTCCCAGTCTCCTCCTATTATCATGCTCTAGGATCCTCCAGTCTCCCCATTTTATCATGCATGCTCTAACATCTCCCAGCCTCCCCTTTTTATAATGTATGCAAATGAATTCCTTTGATTAAAGTAATGTCATAATTTTTTTTTTAAACTTTTAGTTTTATAACTCTTTTTTTACTAAGGCATATGTTCTCCTCCCATGTTAATATGCCGCATAAAATGAAAATGTTAAAAATAATACCGTGTCATATTTTCCATATCATGCATGCTTAATCAATAACACAATGTTAATATCACCCAAACTTTCTGACATAGGCCAATCTGTATGGGAGATTTGAAGAATACCACTAGATAAATTTGATATTTAAAAAAAAAAGAAAGTTTAATAAACAGCAAGTCAGGAAGATGTGCAGTTGGTGTTGCTTAAGGGTTGGGGGCGTCAAAATATGTTTTCGATAATCTCATTTCTCCACGCATATGTATTTTCTATAAAGAGTACCAGAGTACAAATGTGTTAATAATGTATTTTGAAATTAATATCTTAAAAAAGAAACTAAATTCTTAAAGTTAATTTAGTTCATCAATCGACGTTGTGCTCTAACATCTCCCAGTCTCCCCCCTCTTATCATGCTTTAACATCTCGCATTCTCCCCCTCTTATCATGCTTTAACATCTCGCATTCTCCCCCTCTTATCATGCTTTAACATCTCGCAGTCTTCCCCACTATCATGCTTTAACATCTCACAGTCTCCCCTTCTTATCATGCTTTAACATCTCGCAGTCTTCCCACTATCATGCTTTAACATCTCACAGTCTCCCTTTATAATCATGCTCAATCATTGAAGCAGTTTCCCCCTCTTATCATGCTTTAACATCTTCCTGTCTCTCCCCTGTTATTTAGCATACATTACCCGTGCTTGAATTTTATTTGACCTAAATTAGAATCCTAGCAGACAGTCTGTTGTGGGCGTGGCCTATTCGTTTGATTATCTTGTTTACAACCGTGTTTACCAATTAAACATGTTAGACTGTCTTCCTGGTATTTTCTCGAATGTGCTCGTTAACCCGAGAAATGTAAACAACACGTCATGGGTCTTTCTGGAAGGCAGGGCTTACGCGACCTATATAAGGGATTGACCGGCACGAACGGAAGGATGGAGATTCAGATAGGTTTTATCAACTTCACGAGACGTGTATTATTCTTTGTGTTCTTATATATGTGTTTATTTCGCATTTCATCATTATTCATTGGATATTATTCTAGCTGTATTAACTGTGTACTGGTACAAGATCTACCATACTGTAAGTTGATGATTTGTAATGATATTTCTTTTCTTTTGTAATTACATTAATACTTAATAAATCTTATTAATTGTAACTAGAAACTGCTTTGGGTGACGTATCTTTAATATTGTTGACTATATGGTAACGTCCTTTGTTAGGTACTGTTTACAACGAGCCAATTAAAATTAAAATAGGAGATTAATTTCTCCCAATACAAGTCAGTGCATAACACCCCCTCTTATCATGGTTTAACATTTCGCAGTCTCCCCTTCTTATCATGCTTTACCATTGCAGCAGTCCCCACGCTCTTATCTTGCTTTAACATCTCACAGTCTCCCCCTCTTATCAAGCTCTAACATCTTCCAGTCTCCACTTCCTATTATGCTCTAACATCTTCCAGTCTCCCCCTCATATCATGCTTTAAAATCTCCCAGTCTCCCCCTATTATCATGCTCTAAGATCTTCCAGTCTCCCCTTTTATCATGCTTTAACCAATCCCAGTCTCCACCTCTTATCATGCTCTAAGATCCTCCAGTATCGCCATTTTATCATGCATGCTCTAACTTCTCCCAGTCTCCCCTTTTATCATACATGCTCTAACATCTCCCAGTCTCCCCCTCTTATCATGCTTTAACATCTCAAAGTCTCCCTCTGTTACCATGCTCTAAGATCCTCCAGTCTCCCTATTTTATCATGCATGCTCTAACATCTCCCAGTCCCCCCCTCTTATCATTCTCTTACATCTCCCAGTCTCCAGGTCAATTAGTTTGTGCGCGCGTGAAACGCTGCGGCTCAGATGCCGACTGTTTCAGTCCTAACGGCTGCTGTGTGTACAATCCCTACGCCACTGCCGACGTGACCAGCCCCCCGCCACCAGACTACTACAAGTACCCGCCGAGCTCTAGACCTGGTCAGATCGTGCCCCCGCTGGTTGGTGTCTGTCTGCCAGCATTAAGTTTAGACAACCGTATGTCTTTTAATATTTTAGTTTGGTTTCATTTTATTTTTTAAACGCCTACCATGCTTTAGAAATTAAAACACACTTTAGGACAAAACCTGAAGAAGGATAAAACAAGACAGCAGACATTTAGACTGAAAATCAGCAGCGGCAGAAAGGGACAACATAATAAAGATAGATAAGGACAGGCAAAGAAAACACAACTTGGCTTGATTTGGAGTCGACCAGAAATAATTCAAATCTAACAGTAGACAAGGAATAGTTTCTGAGTAACTATCTAATAAAGGATGACGATTATTGCTTGAACAAGAATGCAGTCCCCCACCCCTTTTATCCCAATAACATACTATCACACATGAGGTTTGCTTGGTGAACACTTTGACCATCTTGGGCGGCAAACCACTGACTGGACCAGTGGGGGAAAGGGGGGGGGTAGTAACCCACTAGGTAGAAGCACATTTATCAGCAAGAAAAATGTAGCTAATAAAAGTTTTAAATATTTAAATAAACACTGTAGCAGATTGTAATGTCTTCTTATCATGAAGTTAAGGTTAGATATATATTTAATAATTTCTTATCTATTTTTTCAGCCTGCCTTGCTTCAATAGATCCACTGAGTACCAAGTGCCCATGTTTAACTGGATTAACCTGCCAACCAGATGTGCCTGGCTCAATACTTGGTAGAGGCATTTATCGCTGTGCTGGTCTATTCCACTCTTTCTATCATTGTGATAGTATAGTCCACCGTTTCTAACATTGTGCCAGTCTATTCCACTGTTTCAAACATTGTGACAGTCCATACCACTGTTTCTTGTATTGTCATAGCCTAGTCCACTGTTTCTATCATTGTGCTAGTCTATCCACTGTTTCTTATATTGTGATAATATGTCCAATGTTTTTTATATTATGATTGTCTATTTCACTGTTTCTTTTATTATGCTAGTCTGTTCAACTGTTTCTAAAATTGTTTTAATATTTTTATCTATTTATATTACTGTGCAATTCAATTCTACTGTTTCTCTAAGTGTGCTAGTCTATTCCACTGTTTCAATGATTGTGCTAGTCTATTCCACTGTTTCTATTATTGTGCTAGTCTATTCCATTGTTTATATTATCGTGCTAGTCTATTCCACTGTTTCTATTATTGTGATACTATATTCCACTGTTTCAAATATTGTGCTAGTCTATTCCACTGTTTCTATTATTGTGATACTATATTCCACTGTTTCTATGATTGTGCTAGTCTATTCCGCTGTTTCTATTATTGTGCTAGTCAATTTCACATTTTCTAGTATTGTTCTAGTCTATTCCACTGTTCATATTATAATGATAGTATTGTGTCACGTATCCTCCTTCGATTGGTTTCTTTCATCAACATCTTTTACTCGCCATAAGTCGCCATAAGTCGTAATCACAGGGCATTGAACACAAGTCTTTTTACATTAGCAATGTCAACTCGGGTATGTCACGTATCCTCCTTCGATTGGTTTCTTTCATCAACATCTTTTACTCGCCATAAGTCGCCATAAGTCGTAATCACAGGGCATTGAACACAAGTCTTTTTACATTAGCAATGTCAACTCGGGTCTAAAAACATATCTATCAGGCTGTACAATAAACGCAGCTTGCTAAAAGGAGAAGTAATGCAAAACCATTCACTACAAAGCCCTTTTTTTAAAAACTGCTCAACTGTAATGCACGTGCGTCAAGGGCAGTAAACAATATACACAGATTATATTCAGAGCTCAAGCGACACCTTTCCGATCATAAAATTTTCTGATGATACCACCATCGTTGGCTTAACGAGGGAGAAGGCTTATACCACAACTTAATTTTAAGCTTGATCAATTGGTGTGATGAAAATTTTTTCCAACTGAATGTCTCAAAAACAAAGTAAATGTTTGTTGATTTCAGGAGATGAAAAAACCAGATTACAAATCTCAATATAAAAATCAAAGTGTAGAGAAAGTAGAGGCATAATACAAGTACTTAGATGTCACCATTAATATTAAGCTAACATGACATGAGCACGGCCAAATGCTGTATAAGAAATTCAACCAAAGACTGTTCTACCTAAAAAAAACTGTACAATTTCGACGTAAACAAACAACAATGTAACAATGGGAAGCCTGCTTAATTTCAGTATTACCTGCTGGTGAGGGAATTCATCGTCTGATATTTAACACCGAAATAAACAGACTAATCAAGAAAGCTAGGAACATAACACAAACTAAACATCCTTCACTTGAAGTACTATTTGAAGAAAGATGTTTTTCTAAAAATTTTGCATGAAACATCCCACCCTCTTCATGACAGATAAGTAGGGTCGGCCGGTTGGGGACGAATTCTTTCTCTCAGGGCGAGGACTGAAAGTTGTAAAAATTCTTTTGTTCCCCAATCTGTACGAATTTACCAGCGTGCTCCCCCTGAAGTCACACATCTTAATGAGAACTCATTAGTCCCTGATATGACCAAGGGCATTTACTGAAGGGCTGTTCTTTTTCACTAGTAATAAAACTTAATGTAGATGTCTTGTGTTTAAATTGTTTTATTTGTGTGCTGAAAATGTACAATGCAATCAAAAAACATTTCCATTTGTTTGGACCAATGAAAGAATCTCATCTTATCGTAAATCTCAAAACGCGCCACGCGCAATAAAGGACACTTTTCCTTGCGCAACAATTACTAGTGAACACCCATACTCGACACCAGTCCAGCCCAGTTGTTTCTATCAATGAGGTAGTCTATTCATCTTTTTCTTGGACAGCGCTAGTGTTTTCCATTGTTTATATTATCGTGCTGGTCTATTCCACTGTTTCTAGGTTTAGTACTTGTCTGCCTCTAAGACACATTTCACCTTGTCATTGTTTGCTGTGTTGGTCTATTCCACTGTTTCTATTTTTTGTACGTGTCTGTCTCTAAGATACATTTGGGAATTCAGTCACCTTGTCATTGTTTGCTGAATGTGTACATATGTATAGCGTTTAATGTGTCCATTTTATTTGTTACAGGAAAGTGTGTTGATCCAACTGAACTGGTGATAGTGAGATAAGCATCGCCATCACAGGCAAAAACCCCATTTGATTTAGATAAATATTAAACAAATATCTTACAACAAAGTATTTGCCTTTTTTGTTGTTGTTGTTGTTTTGGGGTTTATTTCATTAAATTTATAAATTGCTTAAAAAACCAAACTTGAGAATTGTTTCCCTTGTAGGTGAGTACGCAGGTACTTGGTTAGACAGCGGCTTCCTTGTTGGAAATTTCTATGATCAATGACATTGAACATCTTTGATCTGAGCATGACAAACTTGAAGACACACTGCCGCTTAAGAGACAATTAGAAATTGATAAACAAAAAAACTTCAGGGTCAGGATAATACTTCAAGACCAACGGATGGAGAAATTGATACATTGGTAAAAATAAAAATGTCTTTGAGAATGTCGGTTCAAGAGGAAAATATCTGGATATTGCGTATGATATCCTAAGGTCCATTCCTCAGACCAGTGTGGTGTCAGAGCGGATGTTCTCTTCATCAGGTTAATTTTGTAACCATATGCGTTCAAAGTTAAGTGACCAAACATTTTACACTTGGTCATTTTTACGATTTCATTATTTAAATGTTTTTTCTTCGAACTATAAATAATTTTGTTATTATTTTGGGGTTTATAGGGGAGATAATATCTAAGTTCCTTTACATCTGTGGCAAAAGCTCTGGTATATAGGAAATAAAATTTGTTTCAAAAATAAAAGTGGGTGGGAGTAATGTTAAAGCACGATTTTTTAACAAGTTAACCACTTAAATAGTTATTTTTCAAAAATCCATTGCAATACAAATATAGTTTCAATTATTGGCAATTATATCCTAAAATTGTGAATCTGAGAGCAAAATAAAAAAATGCAGCAAATTTGAGTTGAAACCTTTTTTAAGGACGCCTGAAGTCATGGAGGCCCTTTTTTGTTCCCTTCCCTCTAATGCCACATGTGGTTGTTTTGGTGTGGGGGCATTATAACATTTTGTAATCAGATAGGACATGGTGTCCACCCCTTCCCTCTAATGCCACATGTGGTTGTTTTGGTGTGGGGGCATTATAACATTATGTAATCAGATAGGACATGGTGTCCACCCCTTCCCTCTAATGCCACATGTGGTTGTTTTGGTGTGGGGGCATTATAACATTATGTAATCAGATAGGACATGGTGTCCACCCCTTCCCTCTAATGCCACATGTGGTTGTTTTGGTGTGGGGGCATTATAACATTTTGTAAT